GGAACTCACCGTGTAGACCAGGCCTCCCTCCAGCTTACTGAGGTCCTCCTGCCCTGCTTCCCTAAATGTGTGCACCGCCATGCCGGCCTGAGACCCCCCTTTTACAACAACCAAACCAACAACAACCAAACAGTTCATCTCCAAAATGTCCTACGTTTTGTGGGCTGGGGAAGTAGGTCATGTACATGCTTCTAAACGTATTTAAAGCAAATTTACTGATAGCCATTGAATATCTTAACTATGTCCTTCATGAATTGCTCAGGTCTTCAACATTAAGCTTTTAAAATATTTTTGCTGCTCCCAGAGACTGACTGTGTTTAGAATAACATTTGCAGTAATAGTCCTACTACGTAGTATCTGTAACAGTACAGAAAGATTTATGAAAATAAGATGCTAAGCAGCAACCTAAAAAGGATTTTAAACCACAAATATCTAACTTTTACACATTGGTTCCATTTATAAGAAAACCAGTGAAGCTATGATCTTCTAATGAAGCTATGCCAAGGATTTTTGTTCACAGACAGTGACATGAATTACTCACTTTATTGCTTAGCTCAGGGAACGCGGTACTCTGATAAGGAAAAGACTGGTCGTCCACTATGTGCCAGTGAAGAACATTAAACTTGTTAAAAGCCATGGCATCCTGAAAGCAAAGATGGGAAGAATTATACACCATAGAGGAATACGGTCTGTATTGTGTCTATCTATGTTGGGATTGCTTCCAATGTGTGCTTCTTTTTAGTGAAGAAAGAATGACGAGAAATTATAAACTAACCATGTATAGTCAAATTGGCACACTTCATTAAAGCCTCACACAGAGTGAGGGTCCAGGAAGAGAAATACAGAAATATAAAATTGTAAACCCAAACACATTAAAAAAAAAAACTGTAAAGCCAGCAGCCACTGTTAACCTTCCACGTCAGCTTTCTGTATAAGAGCAGACATCCTGGCAGCCTCTGTGTACAGTGGGAAACTTTTAACAACTGTCTCCCACCTCCCAGCTTCCCAGCTAGGCAGGCATGGCAGACAAAGGTTAGCTTCTAACCATTGCCTCCCTGGGACCCTCTGTGATGCATTCCCTTAAATTTTAACTGTCCTCCTATGTGACTCTACTCTCTCCTTGCATTCTTTCAGGGACAGCGAAAAGCGGCTGTGCCAGCCACAGGCTTTTGAAAACATCCTAAGTTAACTTCCTATACCCAAAAGTTGTAAAACTTAAAATGTGATGTGTCTCTAAGCCTGACGTCAAGGTTGTAAAATCTCTTTGACCAACAACTATTCCTTGATTTTACTAAGAGGCCTGAAACAAGCCCCATTGTCATGGTTTCAGAAGCCAATCACTGGCTGTGGTCCTAGGTATAGCTGAGAAGGGTTTTGTTTGTTTGTTTGTTTGTTTTGTTAGTTTTTGCCCCGTGGTGACCTTTTTCTTTTTCTGGAATAAACCTTGCTTCTGGTTTAATAGACTTTGGTGGTCTGTCTCCCATCACAGTGTGACCCCAGACCCAACAAGAGTATATATATCGTATACAGGAAGCTGTGATATTGCTGTATAGGAGAGCAAGCTTATGGATTTATCATTGTGCTTCAAGGTCTGCTGGGAATAGGGAATGAAGAGGCTGAGGCTGTCTTAGGGAGTGGAGTACAGGAGAGACAAAGAATTTATGTAATTACCAGAGCTTACAATTCCCACATATGCAAAACCCTGGAATATATTAACATATATAGGCACATATGGCCTATAATATATGAAACATATGATAACCCTGGCAAATGAAATTCATTATAGACTCAATATAATGCCAAGCAAATGCCTAGAGAATTCTGGGCACCTTGACATATTGAATGAAATGTGTACCATGAAGGAATACACTGTAGTTTAAATAAACTGTAGTTTAAGGTATAAAACTAGTTTACTCCTTAAAACTGATTCTTAAAAGGACAAAATACTACGGGATATGATACAAATGCATAGCCTCCCTTCTCTGTATTGGGACTAAAGGGCCTTGGCTGATGCATTTGGGAGACATTTGGGATGACAGCGTTTTTATTGTCAGAGAAAGGAGTTACAAATTAGTAATAGTAATATAAACTTGTTAATATTTAATACAGACCAGGGGATCATATACTTTACATAAGGGGTCAGATAATAAATATTTCAACCTGCAGGCCATATTTCTGTTGCAACCACTCCACCCTGCCAGCTGTAAAGCAGTGTGCAACAATGCATGTGCATATCCCAGTGAAACTCATTGCAAAGGTGGATGACTGTGATATAAATGTTTTCAGGTATTGTTTTTGTTATTTGTTAGTTTTTTGAGACAGGGTTTCTCTGTGTAGCCCTAGCTGTCCTGTAACTAGCTCTGTAGATCAGGCTGGCCTTGAATGCACAGAGATCCACCTACCTCTGCCTCCCAAGTGCTGGGATTAAAGGTGTGAGCCACCACTGCCTGGTTTTGTTTTGTTATGTTATGTTATGTTATGTTTTGTTTTGTTTTGTTTTGTTTTACATGGCTCATGGTTCCTGGCTCTTGGTTCCTAACTCCCTCCAAGTACAAGTTGTAGAAATTAGGACAACTGTTACTCTTGGCTGGTCATTGAGAGTAATCATGCCAGGGGTTTCTGTCTGGGAGCTGGCCTTCATGAAATTCTCTGCCCTATCTGGTGTGATAGTAGGTCCCAAGACCCTCCTCCTCCAGGAGGGCCTGCAGGGAGGGACTCTGTTCTGAAGAGAAAGAAAGGCCTGCTGTAGCTACAGCCTACTGGGCTTCGTTCATACCCTTTCTATTTGATCACATTCCATGTGGTGCTTGTGTCTTAGCCATGCCTATGAAGACCCCATATAACCCCAAAGGGCAGATTTCAGGGGCTTCTAAATTTTGGGCCCCAGGAGTTCCTGGAGAAGTGGCATGCCCAGAGAGGTTGTGGGAGCCCTGCTTCCAAACCCCAACCCTAAGCACCACTTCACCTGCAGCCTTTGCAATGTCCTTTATAATAAAGTGACCAGTGTATTTACCTTCTGACAGCCACTCAAGTTAAGTATTTGAACTTGAGTGGGGAATTTGGGAACCCTGATTTAGAGTGGTACATCACAAGCATAGTTAAAACTCAAGTAGATCAGAAGGGAAATGGGTAGCCTTGGGGACTTCATCTTCTGGGATATGACACTATCTCTAGTAGACAGCATTAGAACTGAACTTGATTTGAGGACACCCTGCTGATGTCCTGCTGAAGAGCTGCTGGTTGGCTGGTGACAGGAAAACAAAAACAAAAACAAAAAACCAACTTGGCTTCTTTCAAATCACAGAAGTTCCTGATTAACTGTGGTGTGGGAAGAAAGGGCCAACCAGGTCTCCTGAGCCATGACAGCACTGGATTTGACTGCTGGGTTGTCCTTAACCAACACCTGATATAGACGCAGAGACACAGGGAAAGCTGTACACTTTCATGTTCAAATAAATATATTGAACACACACACATGGGTATGCTTCCCAGCTGTCTGTAGAATCAGGAGATATGACCACCTACAGCCTAAATCTGGGTTTTCAAATACTGCCTACTGAAAGAGTTCTTTTGGTGGGGGAGAAGGCCTGAATCTAGTCTGAGACCAGGCTACCTAAGCCTGGGCTCTCATGGGGCCAAAAGTACAGAGAGATAGAGGGGGACATCTCTCAAGAATAAACAAACCAGCTTGAAGGGGCTTCTAGTGGTCACAGTAGGTATATTATATAGGGGTGTTAACAGATTACAATCCATGAAGCAGAATGATAATCCAGACTGACAAAATAATGAGTGCTCAAATGAAAAAGGAATTCTCTGCCCTACTATAGAATATAGAAGGTTATTTACCAAGAGTAAATGTAGAAATGACAGAAAAGGGAAACCACCACTCAGTGATTGTTCAAAGCAATAACCTCCTGACTTAGGTGAGGATCAGCTGTGGGTAAGTACTGAGGAGATGTGCGATTTTACAGAGTCCCCCAATTTTCCCACAGAGTACTTAATAAGCACATAATAGCCTACAGTTAATTTTATATTGGAGAAGCAAGGCAGATGACCTGTCAGCCAACATGAGTGGTCAGTACCTTGAGTGAGAAAGCCTTGCCACCTGACACTGTCTGGAACACAGCCCTGTCTGTGAGAATCAAATGACATAAGCTATTTTCTAAAAGTAATTGGCCTGTACTTTTCTAAAACACCACCGTCTTCAAAAACGAGGAAAGATAACAGCTGCAGGCTGAAGGTCACTGAGGAGACGGACCAAGGAAATACCACACAGATCCTGCTGCTGTTTGCTGTATTGTCGGCCTGGAATCTGCACTGCGGGTACCATGGAGGGCATATGCTAACAGCTTCATGCTCCTGACTTTTTCGCTTAAGCTATTTTGAGATGTGTTCGTTCTTTTATAGGAGATGCAAACTAATATTAAGGTGTTTTGAGTCACCTATTGCATGGACCCCTCAGGCATTCTAATTGGGACAATCAGGCAAATATGTGTTTTATGTACATTTAACAAGTATTTAAATTTTTCAAGTCATAAACTTTAAATTCATATAATCTTGATTAAAGAGTATATGAAAGTTCTTTTTAGCCTTCTAAAAAGTTTAAGCGGCTTAGAGGCAGCTGGCAGGTGGTAGTGGGGACAAAGCAATGAAACACACTCAGGAGGGCTGGAGAGATGCCTCACAGGTTAAGAGCATTGACTGTTCTTGTCCTGAGTTCAATTCCCAGCAACCACATGGTGCCTCTAAACCATCTATAATGAGATCTGATGCCTTCTTCTGCTATACAGATAGGAAACTGTATACACAATAAATCAATAAATAAAAAGAAAAGGAAATCCCTCAGGAAAATTATAATCTAACTCCTTCCTACCTGCTACCCGAAGGCTCCATATTTTTCTGGAACATTTCCAAAGGAAAAAGTCACTCCCTGACCCCTTTCTATGTCACCTAAAAAAAGCAATAGCTATAGTGATTTGGCCATGCTCCCAGGTTGTGTCTAGAGCCCTGATTGACAAATGGGAGCATGTGGTTGGGCCAATGGCATTATTAAATCTGCCTTTCTCGTTTATTGCTGGATGTGGTGGCATAGGTTTTTAATCCCAACACTTGAGAGGCAGGCTGATCACTGTGGGTTTGTGGCCAACTGGGTCTACAAAGGAGTTCCAGCATAGCCAGGGCTACCCATAGAAACACTGTCTTGAAAACCCACCAAAAACCAAACAAACAAACAAACCAAACTGCCATTCTCACTAAAAGTAGTAGTACATACTGATAATCCCATAACTGAGGCAAGAGGATTGGAGGCTTGAGGGCAGCCAGGCTTAAAACAAAATAAAATTTCTGTTAACAGTCTTGGACAAATTCATGTAGTCTGTGAAAACACAGGGAGATCCACTCGGGCATGCCACCATTCCACACGGAGAATCATTCTCCCCAGGGAGGGATCCTGAAGCTCAATGCTTAGACTTAGGGACAAGAAAAACAAGTCTTCTCACTCCAGCTTACTTGATAGCATAAGAACCATGAAGAAAGGAACCCAGGGGCAGAACTTCAGGAGGAGCAAGGGATCTGATAAAGAAATCACCTACCAGAGTTTTTAAAATTGTCTTCACGGGCAGGTAGTGTCTGGATGTATCAATTAAAATTCCTCTGTGTGCAAACCTTGGAGAGTCAGTAATACTGGATTTGTTGATGGTGAACTAGGAGAAGAAATAAATTTTGATGAGTTTTAGAATGTTCAAGTTCAACAAAGACTACAACTATACACAAGTACTAGACAAAATTTCAGGACCAGTGCCTGGATAGATGGCTCAGAAATTACTAGCACTGGCTGGCTGCTCTTCCAGAGGTCCTGTATGTAATTCCCAGCCACCACATTGTGGCTCCCAACCATCCGTATGAGATCTGGTGCCCTCTTCAGGCCCACAGGGATACATGCAGGCAGAACACTTTACATCTCTATATCTATGTCTGTATATTAAATAAATCAAATATATTAGGACCCAAAAATGCATGAAATTTGTAAGCAAATATATTGGGAAAAGAAACTCTTAGGACTTCTGGGGAGGCTACATCCTAACAAGAATGTCTATCCAGGTTCAGTAAAACAATAGGAATACTCACGGCCCCATAAGAGTCTTGGTAAACTAACTGGCTAAATGTCTCTAAACCTGGGGGAAGCAAAAGATATTGTGTTATTTACAAGATCAAAAATTGAAATAAGAGTAATACCCAAACAGGCTCATGACAACAGGGTGAATAGTCGGACAGTACTGCATCCACACTTGGTAAAATGCAGCCCTCCTCCCGCCTACTCCTCCCACCGTTCTACAGCAAACTCCCTTTCACAGTGCTCAAGCTGATGCTTCTGAAGCCATAGGCATGGAAAACTGGGGAAGACACATACTTGGTTCCTGAAGGAGGCAAGAAGGAATTGCTGAGTCCAAACCAAAGCTGAACCAACTGGGGCCACTGACCGCCATGGAATGTTACAGCCCAGTGTTGGAGCACAGTCCATAAATGGAGTCATGTGAGA